CTTATATACACTCAGATGTTCTCTACATGGGAATTGAACTGCATAAGAATTTGCTACAAGTTAGCCAGGAAAGAGCACCTGGCCATAGTAGAATTAATTCTACTAGGGCAGTGCTTTTCAACCCTTTTCCTGTGTGGACCCTTAAATTTTGAATTGAAGTGCAGACCCCTTTGGATGACAGGTTGAAAATCACTGCACTAGCCTGGTTGCATTCATCAAATGTCAATAGACAATCCTGCAGTCATTCTTAAAGTAGGATTCTTCATTTCTACCTTCAAGCAAACAGACAACTGGTTGTCAATCAGCAAATGTGAAATGTGTGGACAGCCACGTGGAAAAGAAAGAAGAGTTACTTACCCTACAGTAATTGTGGTTCTCCACAATACCTCAGATTCCACCACCCACCCTCATTCCCCACTAATTCAGTGTTATTCCTATAGAATTCTATATTGAGGAAGGAACCAAGAGGCAGTTGGCCCACTCCATCCTTGATGCTCTTGAAAGGGGAACAAGGACAGCTGTGATGCAGGCATAGCCTCGGCAGCCCGATGGACACTGCTAGCCAAAAAGAATCTGCTCTTGAACATGTGAGGTGTATAAACACCAACAGTGGAATCTTAGAAACAGAATATTATTGTTGGAAGATACCTCAGGAGGTCATCTAGTCTGACACCCTTCTCAAAGCAGGACCACCCCCAACTAAATCATTCCAACCAGGGCTGTCAAGCCTGGCCTTAAAATCCTCTAAGTATGGCGATTCCACCATTTCCCTAGGTAACCCATTCAATGCTTCACCAACTTTCTAGGGAAATATTTTTCCTAATATCCAAGCTAAACCTCCCCCACTGCAACTTGAGACCATTGCTCCTTGGTCTGTCCTCTGCCACTACTGAGAATAACCTGGCTTCATCATCTTTGGAACCCCCTTTAGGTAGTTGAAAGCTATCAAATCCATCCTTACTCTTCTGAACTGGATCTAGTATTTCAGATGTAGCCTCACCAGTGCCAAATAAAGGGGAATAATCGCTGGCAGTGTAGCCTGATGTGCCATTAACCTTCTTGGAACAAGAGCACACTGTTGACTCATACACAGCTTCTTGTCTACTGTATTAGACACGATTTTTCTGCAGAACCGTTGTTTAGCTAGTCAGTCTCTAGCCAGTAACAGTGCTTGGGATTCTTCCATCCTAAGTGCAGGACTCTGCACTTGTTGAATCTAATCAGATTAGTTTTGCCCCAATCCTCCAATTTGTCTATTCTGGACCTTGCCCCTATCCTCTGTTGTATCTACCTCTCCCCCTCAGTTTAGTGTCATCCACTTGCTGAAGGTGCAATCCATCCCCTCATCCAGATCATTAATGAAGATGTTGAAAAAATCCAGCCCCAGGACCAATCCTGAGGCATCCCGCTTGACATTGAGCCATTGATTGCTACCTGTTGAGCCCAATAATCTATACAACTTTCTATCCAGCTCCCAGCCATGCCGCTTGGGGGAGTGGAACAGGCTGTAGCCAAATTGTTCTATGTCTCACCACCACAGTGAAATGGAGTGACCTAGATGGCAGAGCAGAACAGGCTGGGATTGGGTCGCTCTGCTTCTCACGGCTCCCATAATCACTGGTGAGTGTGGAAGTGGGCCCAACCGCTGCTGCTGGTAACCAGGATCCCTGGTAATCCCACAGGCTACCTTGGGCCTTGCACAACCCTCCACAAAGCAGGGCTTGGGGCCACGGTCCCAAACCATCCAATGGCAAAGCAGACTGGTCAGTAGTTCCCCAGATTCTCCTTAAAAAAAAAAAAAAAAAGCAGCACTATCTGCCTTTTTCCAATCATCCAGGACCTTCCCCAATTTCCATGAGTTCTTCATGATTAATATCTTGAACTGCAGTTATGCTAGAGTAAGTAACCATTTCTCATTGCTCATGGTTGCTGTGAGACTGGGTAACTGTTTTTGTTGAAATGTATTTGAATAAAAATGGTTTTTCAACTAAAACAAAAACATTTTTGCATACTATTTATTTTGGTCAAAATTTTCTGGTTTTTTGGTCAATTTTTTTTTAAGTTTTCAAGTTTTTTTTTTTTTTAAATAAAAATTTTTTTTCATTATAAATTTCCTGTAAAAAGAACTAGCATTTTTATTGGTTCTAGTTACTACACTTTTCTTCCAATCCACCCATGTGAGTCTCTAGAAATAATTGTAGAGTAAGACATTTCATAAGTACCTACCAGAAGAAATCAATGTTACATACGAAACTATATTTTAGAGCGCGCCCCTCTGGCGAGTGAATGCTTATAGAAAAAACAGAGCTCTGTTGCATTAATTAGAGGCAGAGTGCTATGGTTCATAGATCTTAAAGATGATAATCTCTCCCACTAAGAAGAAACAGATGCATATATTAGTCAACTATCCCCTAAAACATAAAGAAATTTATCAGCTCCTACCATAGTTTTTAACTCCTATTATACAGGCTGGATAACCTGAGCTCAACATGTCTGGGCCTCTGGATTTTTCCTGCCCTTTGGACTTGAACATAATATATGCTGCTCATATCCTTCCTTGATCTACTGCTTGCCATATAAGGTAATTGCAAACCAGTAAGAGAGCTGTATCTTATTTTAAAAGTAATGTAAGTAAAACTACCAGGAGTCTCCAGACCAGCTGTTCTACCGAGATAGGAAGTAATGAACGTTTAAATAGGACTGTGGTCAGAAGAATTTGAATGACAGTTGAGGATATTCCTACATACATATCACCATAGGGCTGAGAAGGCCTGAGGCCACAGGCAGGGTGTCTCTGCAGCCCAAGGCTATGTCTACACTTGCGGCTTCTAGCGCAAGTAATATGCAAATGAGGCTAAGTGTGGAATATTGCCGAGCCTCATTTGCATACCTAATGAGCCGCCATTTTTTTCAGAAGAGACTCTTGTGCAAGGAGGGTCTACACTGCCCCTTATTGCGCAAGAAAACCCTTGCACAACGCTGTTACACCCATTAGTTTTCAGGAAGAATGGCATTGTGCAAGAGGGTTTTTCTTGCGCAAGACGGGGCAGTGTAGACGCTCCTTGCACAAGAGCCTCTTCTGAAAAAAATGGCGGCTCATTAGGTATGCAAATGAGGCTTGGCAATATTCCACGCTTAGCCTCATTTGCATATTACTTGTGCAAGAAGCCACGAGTGTAGACATAGCCCAAGAGATGTGTCTATTCCAACAGTTCTAAGCTTGCACCCTCAACATGTGCAGATCCGGATTGTGAGGATCCATTTAGGCAAGCATTGATACCACTTTTGGAGCTAGAAAGTGGAGCTGATCAAGCAAAAGGGGGGTTCATAGTCTCACATGCAACCTACAACCATCACCACAGAGCTGCAACGCCTGCCTCTGCCACACCCCCCCAAAGCAGTTCCTAGAAACCAGCCTCTAAACACCAGCCCTGTGCAAACCACACCAGGCCTATTCCTCCTCCATTTCCTTTGGTTCTGTATGGTGGCTAAAGTGGCCTACAGTGCTCCTCTTTGCTCCAAGGCCGCAAGTTTCTCAATGAGAAATGTCACCAGGGGACAGATCCTCGGGTACAACATCCCCCCCTCCCACCTGGTTTCCAGGCAGGGGTGACCAGCCCCCCAGGTAAGAGATGCCCGCAAGGGATCCCTAGACGAGGTATCTGGGTAGAAGTGACGGGTCTTGGGCAAGATGCCCCTCTGCCTCTGGACAGAGGTGACTGATGTGCAAGTTTCTCAATGAGAAATGTCACCAGGGGACAGATCCTCGGGTACAACATCCCCCCCTCCCACCTGGTTTCCAGGCAGGGGTGACCAGCCCCCCAGGTAAGAGATGCCCGCAAGGGATCCCTAGACGAGGTATCTGGGTAGAAGTGACGGGTCTTGGGCAAGATGCCCCTCTGCCTCTGGACAGAGGTGACTGATGTGCAGGAGAG